GTGCGGTGGCGCAGGGCGTCGTTTTTCTCTACGGAGTCCTCCTGGAAAAGGTGGTCGTACTGTGGCAGATGGAGCGTCGCCAGGACGTGCGGGACGCAGTCCTCGAGCCATGCCCAGTAAACGTCCTGATGGTCCTCCCCTGGTGCCCACGCCGCGGCGCACGGGATGAGCCGTGCTCGGATGTTCATCAGGTGCCAGAAGGCGGGGTCCTCATCAGGTTCGCCCCTGGCGCACAGAGGGGAAACGGGACTCTCTGTGTTGCTGGTAGTCAGGCCGTGTGCGTGGGTGCTAAGCACGGCCATAATTAGCAGCCCACATAGCGCGTTGGGCTCCACGGTGATGCACAGGTAGGGCACGAGGAGCCAGATGGCTCGCAGCGAGGCGCCTGTGGTCTGTGGGGGCCACGGTGGAGCCGTCTGCGACGCTGGCTCAGCGGCGTGGTTTCCAGCGTGGCACGACCCACCGCAGTCAGTAATGTCGAAGCTGTCAGGTCGGCACGCTGTGGGGGTGCGACACTCTGGAGGGCACACGGTGCGACGTACGGCGGCAGGCGTCGTGGTCGGTGGTAACACTCGCAGGTGGTCGTGCGCGGCGTGCGTTGCCTCATGCGGGGGCGGTGGCAGCCAGGGCACTGCAGCGGGGCTGAAGCCGCCACTGCGTGCCTGGGCCTTGCCAGCGGCCCTGTCGAGGATATGCTGCACGACGGTCGAGGACAAGCTGAAGACAGGGAGCCATCGAGGATATGCTGTACGACGGTCGACCGCAGGCGTCGTATTGAGTGATGGTAGCCCTCGTAGCTGAACTTGCATGCGGTGCGAGGCGTGGCCGGAGGACGCAGGGGTCATCTCAGCTGCGGCAACATCGGTGGTCGACTGCGATGCATGTGTCGTAGTTGACGAGGGCGTGCTCGTAGGAGACATGCTGAAACTCGTCGTAGACGTCGTAGTAGCCGTCGAAGTCCCAGGGGGGCAGCGCGTGGGGCGGGGCCCCTGGTGCTGCTCAGGCCAGGCGCTCGCGGGGGCGCCCAGCGGCCCGGTGCCGCACGGACCAGCGGCGGCGTGCTGTTCACGATCGGGTCCAAAATGGCGCTGTGATCGTATTTGTAGATGCTGTCATCGTAAAGGTAGAAGAGCGTCCCACGCTCCGCATGTCGCAGGAAAGCCTCTCCTCCGTGCTGGGGCGCACCGCCAGAAGACGGGTGTGCTCCAGCCAGCGAGGGGAGGGCCAGGCCGCAGGCAAGGCGCCACATGATGGCGAGGCCTGGCGGGCGGCGCGAGCGATGAGCCGAAAGCTGCGTGGCAGCACACGTCCTCATACACCCCTGAATGCTCATGTACATCGCTACAATCACGCCCCCTGCAAGACTACGGGTGTCCCTACACCAGAGAGCTTGCGCGTGCTGCTGCCAAAACAGACATGAGGTAACAAGAAAGAGATACGACGCAAAGAGGGGAGCGGTGCCTCTGAAGGCGCTTCCTCGGAGGGCTGAGGCTGGCTCTCTGAGGCACCTTCAATACGGGTCCTGGGTGGCCCGACCCTTGTCCTTGCCTTTGTCGGCCCCTGGGGGCCCCGTCCCTGGGGTGGCCTGGCCTGGCTGGTCGGTCGCACTGCAGGCTGCCGCGGGCTCGGCTGCCGCTGCGGCTTCCTCCTTCTTAGCTTCCAGAGTGGCCGCTTGTGGCAGGTGGATGGTGCCTCCCGTGAGGTGCCCGAGGAGGGTCTGGATGTCGCCGCGCAGTGCATCGGCGTCGGCGGTTGCCGTCTGTTGCTGGGTGACGACGGTGGCAAGCCCCCGTTCCAGCCCTGAAACGTGCTCCGTGAGTGTGGCCTGGGAGGAGAGAACGCCCGCAAGCTGCATCTGCATGTTATCCACCGTGGTGGCTAGTAGCTCGTGCTGCTGTTCCATGTGCTGGATGCGGGTCGTGGCAGCATCGGGCGGTTTGGAGGCCGATGCGAAGCGCTCGCCGAAGGTGTTTAGTTCGTGGGAGGCCTCGCTGTATTCATCGCCTGATGAGAGGATCTCGACGTCAACGACGTCACCTGGTACTTCGGCGGCTGTGGCAGCGGCGCCTTCGGTGTGGCCCCCTCCTTCCGCCGCCGCCGTGCCAAGCCAGGGGTCGTGGCCACCTGGTCCTGGGGCGGCCGTCGGTTCAGCGGCTCCGTCCGTGCCGTGAGGGGGCGCAGAAGAGCTGCGGCTTGGGGCGCGGGGTGGCCTTGCGGGCGGCGCGGCGTCACGTTTCCCGCTGGAGGAGCGGTGGCGCTTGGCTAAAGGCTCCTCCTTGGGTCAGGAGCGGTGCGACGCCCTTGCCTTTGGGCGTGGCAGTCATGAGGTCGTGGAGGTAGGGGCTCTGGGCCGCTTTGGTGAGGAGTGTGCCGGTGGCGGGGCTGAAGCCGCCACCACCGGCTGGCGGCGTCGCAGGCTCTGTGATGGTGGTAGGCGCGACGATGGTAACGTTGTCCCGCTTCGGCGCCACCTCAGCCAGCGGGGCCTCGGCGATGCTCACGGGATGGAGCACCCCGCGACCTGCACCGTATAGGTGAGTGGGGGCCGATGGGCGCGCACTAGGGCAAACTGGCCCGCAGTGGCTGGGTCCCAGGCGGTGTGGTAGACCTCACAGTCCCATTTGACGGACGGGCCCGTGAGAGTCTTGGCGAGCTGGGTCAGCGTGGCGCGGCGCGACGCAATGCCAGTGATGCGGTAGCGCGTCTTGGCGAGGGTGGCCTCGCAGCCGCGGATGCTGACAGCGGCGGCCTTGGCGACGTCAGACCCCCGCGGAACACGGATCCCCAGCAGGCCTGACTTGCCGTGCCTGACGACTCCCAGGGCCTTGAGCTCCACCGACTTCTGGAACGCGTCTGCCATCGTGATGGGCTGGTCCTCAGGGAACCACACGGTCTGATACTTGTCGGCGGTGGGCTCGTCTGCACCTACGTTGCTGAGGTCGTAGGTGGCACCGAGTTGCCCTGATCCCGCCAGGACCTTGTCGACCGCTTGGAGACTGACGCCGAAGGTGGCAGCCAGGGACCTCTTTCCGACGCCCGATCCAAACCTGCCTAGGCTTTTGCAGGGTTCGAGGATGGTGACGGCTTTAAAGTTGCCGTGGAAGAGGGCCTTGAAGGTGTCCTGGAGCTGGCTATCGAGCTCCTGGCGGCGAGCGTCTTTCTTGGACTCCTTGTGCTTTTGGCGCGCCTTGTCCTGTGGAGCGGAGTCGCCTCGAAAAGGGCCCTTGGCGCGTGGACCACCGTTCACGGGGGCACCTCCCGAGAACTGGTCCTCGAAGGCCTGGTGCATGGAGGGGACTGCGGCAATGGCCTCGGTCTCGTGTATGGTCGCCCGAATCCAGCAGACGTGGTCGGCAGGGTCGATGGTGGCGACGGCTACCTTTTCCGTGCAGGCGACCTCCTTGGTGCCCAGCTGGTACACGATCACGGGGACGTGCGTGTGGACCACTTTGGGCGCCTTGGGGTGGCGCTTCAGGACGGGGACGGCGAGCTCGGTACCGACGTAGTTGTCGTTTTTCGGGCCCATGACAGCAATCGCGAGCTGGCCCGTGGCTCGCTTGCCCTGCCCGAGGTGGTGTTGCAGCAGCCGTTCGCCACTCTCGAAGTCGTGGAGGCTGATGCTGGGCTTGCACGTCTTGCCGTCGTCAGGCGAGGTGGGTTCGGCAAGAACAGGGACCTTCCAAAAGGCAGGGTCCAAGGCAATGAATTGGGTGTCCGCAGCCTGAAGACGTGCGGAGCCCGATGGTGGGTGCGATGTGTCACCGCCAGTGCGCTTAGGCTTGCTGCGCTGGTAGTGGTCGAGCGTGTAGCTGATCTGGTTGGCGGCGCACATGCGGATAAGGGCGCTGCCAAGCTTCTTCGTGTTGGACTTGTGCATGTCGTACTTTGCCTGGAGCTCGTCCGCGTTCAGTTCGGCTAGCCCGTTATAGGCGGCCGTGGGGCGGTCAGACCCCGCTTGCCTGAACGCTGCGATGCAGTCCTGCTTGCGTTGAAGGAGGGGCCCTTCAGCAGCAGGGCGCGTGGGACGGGAGCTCGGAGGCTGCTTTGAAGAGTGACGGCGCTCCGGCTTCTTGGGGGCCATTGCTGCGGGCACTCTGGTGCGGAGAGGTGACGCGAATCAGTAGGGTCCTGCTGGGACCCCTCCGGTCTCGCGAGGCCTGGGAGTCTGGCTCCGAGGCGGGGCGCTTCGCGTCGTGTCTGCGGTCTGAGTGCAGAGCACTCTCGAGCCGAGGCTAGAGAGAGAGAGAGAGAGAGAGAGAGAGAGAGAAAAAAAAAAGAGAGAGAGAGAGAGAGAGAGAAACAAATAAAGAGAGAGGGAGAGAGAGTGAGAGAGAGAGAGAGAGAGAAAGAGAAACAACACAAACGAGCGAGAAAGAGAGAGAGAGAGAAAGAGAGAAAGAGAGAAAGAGAGACAGAGAGAGAGAGAGAGAGAAAACCAACAGCAACAATATCTATATGTATATATATACATATGGGTGTTTTCACAACTTTAAGCCAAGTAGTGACAGATCTGGCCGCACTCGAACTGTGCTCCGGAATTCTCAAGGCTCAAGCAGGCCACGGCCTACGCACTTCTTTCGGCAGGCGGCGCGCGAGGTCCTTCCCGAACTCGCCAGAGGGGTCTCCAACAGCCTCCTTCTCCTGGCCCATAGTCGGCAGGGCTGCCTGGACTGCGCGCCAGCGGTGCATTGCGACTGTCCTCCAGTGGAGCCCACCAGCTTCAAGGAGGTGATCCACGAGCGCCCGCCGGCGCTGGAGCAGGCTGGGCTGCTCGCCGGGGCCCTGGGCACGGGCATCCTCATCGGCTTGCAGCTCGAGCGCCTCGCGCCGGGCACTGGCGCCGGGCGGTGCGCCAGGAGGAAGTCGGCTGCCCGGGCTGGCTCGAAGGCGACGCAGCAGCTCGCGGAGCCCACGCCGGCGGTCGAGGCCCTCGACCTCGCAGAGCTGGCCCGGGCCCCCTCGGCGGCCGCTCGCGCCCGACGGGCTGCGCGTGCGCAGCGATGGCGGCGGCAGCCGCTGGTGGCCACCCCCTCGGCCTTGTGGAGGGGGAGTTCTTCGCCATGCGGTGCAACGTTGCTGGGCCAGAGCTCTGGCATGTGCGGCGCTGCGTCGGCACTCCGCTCACTTACCTCGCGGGCGTGGGCGTCATGACCCCAGGCCACGATGAGTGCGAGGAGGAGCTGCTGCGCGGCGGGGATGTGCTCGACTGGGTCAGGCCCCCCGGCCCCGACTCGATCGCGGCGCAGGCTGGTCCGCACGCCGCCGACCACCGTTTCCGCGTGCTGCCGACGGTCGCCGAGCTCACCCTGGCGCGCGTACAGTGCCACCGCCGAATGGGGCTGGAGCCCCCGGCGGGCGTCGTCCACCCCCTGGTGGGCGGGGCGCCCGTGGCCGGCGCACCCGCAGGGGGAGCTGCCGCTGCGGTTGTCCCGCCCGCCGCGGGGGGGGGTCCAGCGGCTGGCGCCCCTGGCGTTGCTGCTGCTGGCGCTGCGGGCCCCCCGCGGGCAGGCGGCCCCGCCGGCGGCGCTGCGCCAGCCGCTGCACCTCCGCCCGCCCTCTTGCCCGCGGCCGGCGCCCCTGGAGGGGGCGCCGCCGCGGACGGGGCTGTCCCCGCCCCTGGAGGGGGCCTCGCTCGTCTCGCTGCTGCCCTCGGCCCTGCGCCCGGGCCCGCTGCCCCTCCCGCTCAGGCCGCGGGGGCAGGAGGCCCTGTCGCGCCGGCCGCCGCAGCGGCGCTCGGAGCTCTTCCGCCTCTTCCTGCCGCGGCAGCTGCGCCCCCCCCGGCCGTCGGCGCTCATGGCGACGCTCGGACGCGCCCAGTGCTGCACGATGCTACGTGCGGTCATTTTCGGGAGTTCAGAGACGCAGTGTCGCTCTTCACGGAGGATGCGTGGGATGACTGGCCCGTGCGGGGTGCTAGAACTTGTTTATGGGTCTGCAGGTTTATTGTGTCAAACGGGTGCACACCTCTCGGGCGCCACAATAGATGGCGAGCAGATTGCAAACTTCAGCCAGGTGATCCCCATGTCGACTCGCACGAATGTGCATGCAGGTTTTTAGAGACTCTCGCGTGCTATGACCAGCTCAACTTGCCGAATGTTGCTTCGGCCGAACTGGCCGCCCGTGAGCTCCAGGTGGCCGAGGAGCGCCACCGGGGCAAGATCGCGGGGGGAAGTGGCGATCGCTTCGACACCCACCTCGCGCGAGGCACGGACCTTGTGCGAGGTAACCTTTGTATCATGCCCGCGCTCGCTGAGTGGATCGCCAGTGAGCTTTCGAAGGGATACTCTGTGATGAAGGAGCGCCGGAAGGCGCGCGAGGAGCGCGTCCTGGCGCGCCCAAAGAAGGGCCCCAAGGGCAACAAAGAGCAGGAGCAGGGGTGATGCTTCCCCGGCCAGCTGCGTTTCCGGCTGGCTTGCCTGCACGAGCTGAAATTAACTGCTCCGAGGCGTCTGCCCAGTGTCTGCTCGGCATCGGGATATCTTTCCGCTCCCTGCTCCTGGCGCTGGCTCTGACGCCCGCTTTGAGGCATCTCTCTCACGTGGCACCGCCCGGCGGCTGGCGCGAAGTTCGCACGCTCTGGCCTGGGCTCGCGATGGCGCGGCTTGCCTCAACCAGTTTTTCGGTTTCAGTGCTCCGCCTTCCTCGGTGCGGAATGCTAGTCAGGAGTGCGCCCTTCGGAACATCGAGTCGGCTTACCTCGGTGCCCCCGCCCATCCTGGCGACCCCTCGTTTCGCAAGGGAGCCCTCGACGCGCTCTTTGCTGGGTCAGGTCTCTACTCGGATGAGTCCTCTACCCAACGGCCGTATGTCAAGAGCAGCGTCTCTTGGCCCGCTAGGGGCAACGCTCCGTCGGCGCTCGCCGACTGTCTCGCGCGGGCCGGCTCGGATTGGCTCGGCCGCTGGCGCGATCAGATGCTAAGATCGCCTGCTGCTGCGGAATCTCTGCGCGCGGAGCTGTGTCCGAATGGGCCCTACACTGATCCAGTTCTGAAGCATCACCCGCTTGCATATGGCGATTTTGTAGCGGAGCTGAGGCAGCGCGGGGTGGTGAAGTATCGCAGAGCCGCCGGACGTTCTGCCACCGTAGGCGTGTTTTTTTGTTGCGAAAAAATCGGGCGATCTCAGGCTCATCTTTGACACGAGAGCTGCTAATACCAGTTTTGTTGACCCTCAACGGACACGTCTTCCTACGCCGGGAGCCTTCTCGGTGTTTGAGAACGTAGGGAGGGGGGCGTTCTTTGCAGCTGGTGATATCGAGTGTGCTTTTTATAGGCTTGCGATCCCCGACGGGCTTCACGAGATGTTTAGGCTGCCCGCGATCGCTGCTAGGCATTTGGGCATCGTGGAACTCGACGAGGCCCCAGTGGCCCCCGATGAAATGATTGCTCCGTGCGTCTGCGTTCTTCCGATGGGATGGTCCTGGGCCCTGCGCATCTGTCAGAGCGTTCTTCGACATGCACTGGTGAACGAGGGTTTCGGTGCCACGAACACGATCGAGGACGGACTGCCGGCGGTGTCTCTCCAGCGCGCGTCGGACACGGCGGGCGCTGGGCATGTCGATAACTTCGTGATTCTTGGCTCGGATCGAGCCGCAGTTCAGGACGGCCTGGACAGAGTACGCCGCCGATTGGAGCCCCTGGGGCTTTCAGTGCACGAGTAGAGCCGTGCTAGCCGAGAGGTGTCGTTCGTCGGTCGCGAGTTCACCAACGGATCAACGGTTTCGGTGAAGGCCAAAAGCCTGTGGCGTCTTCGGTGCGGCATCGAGGCTTTGCTCAGGCGCGGCGTGTGCAGCGGCTCGGCTCTTCAGGTAATCATGGGGCACATCGCCTGGATCGCGCTTCTTCGGAGAGAGGTACTGGCCTTTTTCAGCGCTACTTATAAGTATATGCAGTCTGTGGGCGAGGCCCCGCAGAAGCTGTGGCCGAGTGTTCGGCAGGGGCTGTGGGCGTTTCGGTCGATCCTCCCCCTTCTGTTCACCGAGATCGATATCCCTTGGCATAATGTTATCGCCTCCTCCGACGCCTCTCTCTTCGGCATCGGTGTGTGCACTCGCGTCGTGGCGCCGGAGCGCGCCGGCATTGTCGGTCGGTGCGCAGAGCGCTGGCGGTATCATGTGGCGGGCGCTGAGCGTGCTCGGAAAAACGCCCTCAACCTTCCCTCCGACGTCTGCGGGCAGCCCGCTGGCAGCTCGCTTCCTGCATGTCCTGATCGGGTGCCTCGAGCCTCTGGGGACCCCGTGGGCAACATCGATAACGTCGACGAGTTCACAGATGTTCAGAAGTTCCTAGAGGTTTCGGATGCCAGGATCGAGGAGGTGCCGAGGGGCATCCTGGAGGGCCCGTGGGTCACCGTGCTCGCCTCGAAGGTCTTCGGGTCCGCCAGCATCTTGGAGCTAGAAGGTGAGGCCCTGATGGTGGCCGCCAAGCACATCCTGAGGTCATCGGAGGCGTTCAATCGGAGGGCGGCCCTGCTGGTAGACAACTTGCCGTTGGCGCTCGCGGCCTGCAAGGGCCGAGACGCCTCTCATCATCTTCTTCGGCCTCTTCGCAAGCTGGCCTGCTTATCGTTGGTGTCTGGGTCCCGGCCCCGCATCAGATGGACCCCCTCGGAGCTCAACCCTTCGGATGCACCCTCTCGGGGCAAGCTGGGCTGGTTCGTTGGGCCGCATCGCCGAGAGCGTCTGCAGCGTAGCCTTCCTGGCTCTAGCACTCCGGCGGCTGACGCCCTTCCACCGCTTCCACCCTTCCCTGTGCTCTCGGAGGCCGACACCTCCGGTGGCGCCCACGACTCTCGGCATGGCGCCGAAGGCCGCTCGCGGGAGGCGGGCGCGGACGAAGGCTCGACCAGCGTCGCGGGCCGGCCTGTTCAAGGGGCAGCGCGCGTCGTCAGCGACCCGCCTGGCGCAGCAACGGCAGGCGAGCGGCAGCCTCGGCCTGCTGGAGCGCCCGGCCATCAAGCCGGGCACCGAGCGCCTGTGCCTGGGCGCAGCAGCCGCATTCGCCAGCTTCTGCCAGAGCACCGGGACGGACTGGAGCTCGCCGCAGGAGTTGGACACCCTCCTGGCCTCGTGCTTCCACGCGGAGTTCTTGGAGGGCTCGAGCGTCGAGGAGGCCTCCAAGCTGCTTGCCAGCCTGTCGCACTTCCTCCCGGAGCTCTACAAGGCAACGGCCGAGGAGCTCCCCAGAGCGACCCGCTGCCTGGTGGCCTGGCGGCGGAGGGTGCCTCCGCGCATGAAGCTCCCGCCCCCATCGAGCGGCGGCCTTAGCCCTGGCGGGCTGTCTTCGCCACTTGGGCCACCCGCGTATACGTATCTGGGCGGCGCTCACGTTCATCGCCTACCTGCGGCCGCTCGAGACGTTCCAGCTGCGCGGCTCGCACTTGGCGGCGCCGAAGATCGCGGCCGGCCGCCAGCGCAGCTCGCGGGGGCTGCTCCTCCACGACGCGTCGGTCGGAGACCCGGGCAAGACGGGGATGTTCGACGCAGCTGTCCTGCTCGACCGCTGCGACAGGCTGCTGCCCTCGCTGGAGGCCCCCAAGGCTCAGTCGCATCCCGACGGCAGCCTCTGGGACTTTCTCGCCCGCGGAGCTGCAGCGCCACTTCGCGTCGCTGGTGCGGATCCTCGGCCTCGACCCGCTGTCGCCTCACCTCTACTCGCTGAGGCGCGGCGGCGCGAGCGACGACCACGTGACTGGCTCCAGGAACCAGGGGGAGGTCAAGGTCCGAGGCCGGCGGGTCACCCTCACAAGTCTCAAGAGGTACGGGAAGACCACGCGCCTCCTCTTGGAGATGGCGAAGGTGCCCGAGGACGCATTTGTGTTAGGACGCGCCGTGGAGGCGAACTTCAGCAACATGATGTCCGAGGGCTTCGTGGGTCCGCTGTCGGCGGTGCGGCTGCCCTCGCGCCTCGCCGCTGCATTGGGCCCAGGCAGCGCCACCCCCCGCGGCCTGCCGGCGACTTCTCCGAGGACGAAGTCCGCAGGTACCTACGGCGCTGCTTCAGGGCCAGCGCTACTCCGCAAGTCCGTTCCATGAAGAGGCTGGTCTTCTTGGAGTTATTCTCAGGTGCTGGGAGAGTTGGAGACGCTTTGCGCGCTCAGGGATATCGCTTTCCTTCGATATTGTACACAATGCGAGAGAAGACCACCTAGATCCGCCCTTTCAAAAAGTCATCAAAGGCTGGCCCTCCTCAGGCTGTGTTGGGGCGCTTTGGCTCGGCACACCTTGCGCGTCTTGGACTCGTGCCTTGGGAAGGCCCATTCGTAGCAGCGACCTGCCCTTCGGAGTGCCAGACCTTTCGGATGCCGAGAAGGAGTGCATCAGGATTGGCAGTGCCTCGTTCATGTTCAGTGTCGCGTTGATCAAGATGCGTATTTCCCTCAACGTGCCAGTCTTCCTTGAGAATCCTAGGACTTCTATCATGTGGTGGACACCGCAAATGAAGGCTCTCATGCTTAGTTTTGTTTTCTGTGACGCCTGCTCGGATTTCTGCCAATATGGTGCGCCCTGGAAAAAGGCGACACGTGTTGGCGTTTGGCACGGGGGCAGCCCGCTCGACCTTTGTCTCGCGTGCCGAGGGAAGCAGGGAGTCTGTAGCCGTACTAAAAAGCGTCACATCGAGCTCTCAGGGAATGCGCCTGGAGGGCGTAAGTGGACAAGCATCGCGACTCCGTACCCTCCCGCCTTCGCCTCTACCGCCGCTGCCTGCATGATCAGTGCTGCTGAAAATTTGAAGAGTCACCGGTTGCATAGTCTTTATAGTGGCCTGTGATGCGGCCCTAGCTGGCCAGAGTACTAATGTGGGATCGGGTGCGGTCTCGAGCTCGAGGCTCGATCGAATCTTTTTCTCGTTTCTATCTTGCAGTCTGTGTTTCGCTCAGCGGCGGCGCACGTCGCGTTGCCTTCGCGCTCTCACCACGATAAAAATGCATCGTCTTGGTCAGTGTAGTAAACGCCCGGGCTATATATATATATACATACAGAGAGAGAGAGAGAGAGAGAGAGAGAGAGAGAAACAAAAAAACAAAGAGAGAGAGAGAGAGAGAGAGAGAGAGAAAAGAGAGAGAGATAGAAAAACAAAAACAAATATATAAAAAGAGTGTTTGAGAGAGAGAGAGAGAGAGAGCGAGAGAGAGAGAGAGAAGAGAGAGAGAGAGAGAGAGAGAGAGGGAGAGCCTCAAGTGCCATGGAGGGGAGGCCCCCCCTTAGCGCGGGGGGGGGGGGGGGGGGGGAGAGAGAGAGAGAGAGAGAGAGAGAGAGAGAGAGAGAGAAAAAGAGAGAGAGAAGAGAGTGAGAAAAAAGGAAAACACAAAACAGAGAGAGCCTCAAGTGCCGGGGGGGAGGGGGCGCCCCCCCATTAGCGCGGGGAGGGGAGAGACATAC